GGAGGTGGAGGAGGGAGGAGGGATGACGAGGAGGGGAGGGGAGGCTACGGAGAAGAAACAGAAAGACCAATCAAGGCCTTTGGTCGCCTTGTTCTCGTTCAGGCCAACACCACAAGGCTATCAATTGTCAGTTGTCGGCGTGCCCGCCAAAGACCTCTTGTGATCATGCCAACTTCCGTTTCCGCTGTGAACTAATATATCGAAGACGCCTACGGTGAATCACGGCCGCCCCTTGCCTTTTGGAATCGCCCATGTGGCCGAGCGTTGTGGCAAGAGCTCTGCCAAACTATCGGGCCATGTGTTCCCCCCAGCCGTTGTAGAAACCCTTCGGGGAACACTTGGGGGAGGATGGCGGGGAAGATCAGGAGGAGGAGGATGATGAGGAGGAGAAGGCGGAGGAGGAGGAGGAGGAGGAGGAGGAGCAGGAGGAGGAGGGGGAGGAGGGGGAGGAGGAGGAGGAGGAGGAGGAGGAGGAGGAGGAGGAGGAGGAGGAGGAGGAGGAGGAGGAGGAGGAGGAGGAGGTGGAGGAGGAGGAGGAGGAGGAGGAGGAGGGCATCTTGGGAGCCTCCGGAGGCACTCTTGGGGCGTCCTGGGAGCTTGCTGGAAGCCTTTTGGAGGCATCTTTGGGCTCCTTAGGCCTCTTTGGGGGCCTGTGGGGGCGTCTCGGGGGCCTCTGTGGTCGTCTTGGGGCATCCTGGCCCTTCTGACGCCGTCGGAAGCCGTCTTGGGGGCCTCCCTGGGCCCTCCTTGGGGTACTGCAGGACCGTCTTGTAGGCCATCCTGGGCGTCTTGGAGGTCTCTTGGGCCTTCTTGGGGCCGTACTGTGGCTGTCTTCGGGGCCTCTTGGGCGTTTTTGGGCCATCTTGGAGGCCTCGTGGGCCATCTTGGGGCGATCTTTGGGGGCTCTTGGGCTGTCTCGGGCCGTCGGAAGAACGCAAAGAAGCAAATGCCCAAATACTTCAAAAACTTATGGGAAGTCAATGATTTTTGGCCTCTTCGGGCCTTCCTGGAGGCCTCTTGTAGGCCTCTTGGGGACCTCTTGGAGGCCGCTTTGGGGACCTCTTGGAGGCCGCTTTGGGGCCGTCTTGGGGACCTCTTGGAGGCCTCTTGGGCCGTCTTGAGCCATCTTGAGGCCATCTTTGACCATGTTGGAGGCCTCTTGGGCGGACTTGGAGGCATCTTGGACCCGCTTGGGCCGTCTTGGAAGCCATCTTGGACCATCTTGGGCGAATTTACAGGCCATCTTGGGCCAGCTGGGCTGTCTTGGAGGCCATCTTGAGTCGTCTTGGAGGAGTGCTTCCAGACGTTGAGGTCCTTTGTGGTGCCTTTGTGGTCCCTTGTGCGGCCTTCCGGGTGGCCGATGGGACGGGCCGAAGCCCGTGGAGAGTCCTTTTGAAAAAGAGCCCAAACCATCCCGTCTAGGATCCAGCACACCTGGCACCCCTGTGGCAAGACGGATCGAAGACGCCTACGGCGAACCACCGCCGCCCCCTGCCTTTTTTGGAAGCGCCTGCGTGGCCGAAAGTTGGGTTTGAGCTTGGCCAAGCTGTCGGGCCACGCGTTCCCCAAGTGGGTTTCGAAAGCTTTCGGGGAACACGGAGTCGGGCGAGCTAGCGGACCAGGTGGTTTCTGAGCTTTCGGGCCTTCTGGAGGACGTCTCGGAGGAGTCTTGGGCCGTCTTGGAGGCCTCTTGCGGACCTTTTGGGCAGTCTAAGGCCATCTCCAGGCCATCTGGGGCCGTCTTGGGTGCATCTTGGGGCCATCTTCGCTGTCTTGGAGGCCTTCTTGGCCGTCTTGGAGGCATCTTGGAGGCCATCTTGGCCGTCTTGGAGGCCATCTTGGGCGTCTTCGGGGCCATCTTGGGCCGTCTTGGACTCTTCTTGGGGCCCTCTTGGGAGTCTCTTGGGCTGTCATGGGGCCATCTTGGAGACCTCTTGGGCGCTCTTGGGACGATGTTGGGGGCCTCTTGGGCCGTCTTGGGCCGTCGGAGAGCTGATAAGAAGAAAACGCCAAAGTCCTTCAAACACCTCAGAACAATCAATGATTTTGTCCCTTTCGGGCATTCCTGGAGGACGTCTTGGAGGCCTCTTGGAGGCCTCTTGGCCAGTTTTAGGCCATCTTGGAGCCATCTTTGGCCGTCTTTGAGGCTTCTTGGACGAACTTGAAGGCATCTTGGCTCTCTCGGGCCGTCTTGGAAGCCATCTTGGACCATCTTTGGCGACTTGGAGAACGTGGCCATCTTAGAGGCCATCTTGAGCCGTCTTGGATAATTTTTTGCGGTCGTTGAGGTCCCTTTCGGGTGGCCGGCGGGACAGGCCGACGCCCCAGGGAGAGTTTGGGAAAAGAACCACAACCAAAAGCGAAAGGATTCAGCACGCCAGGCACCCCTGTGATGAATCAACAGGCGGCGGCGGATCGAAGACGCCTACGGCGAATCACCGCCGCCCCCTGCCTTTTTGGAAGCGCCTATGTGGCCAGACCTGCCAAGCTATCGGACCATGTGTTCCCCGAGTCGGTTTGGAAAGCCTTCGGGGAACACGTGGGCATCTTGAAGGTCATCTTGGCCGCCTGGAGGCCATTTTGACAGTTTCGGGCCTTCTTGGAGGACGTCTTGGAGGCCTCTTGGGCCGTCTTGGAGGCCATCTTGAGCGTCTTGGAGGCCTCTTGGGCCGTCTTGGGGGCCTCTTGGAGCCGTCTTGGGCCTCTTGGGCGATTTTTGGGGGCACTTGGGCCGTCTCGGGCCGTCGGAAGGCCGAACAAAAAGCAAATGCTCAAATCCTTCAAAAACCTAAGGCAACTCAATGATTTTGGCCTTTGCGGGCCTTCCTGGCGGCCCTCTTGGAGGCCTCTTGGGCAGTCTTGGGCCATCTTAGTGCCATCTTCGGCCGTCTTGGTGGGCCCCTGGCCCGTCCGACGCCGTCGGAAGCTGTTTGGGGGGCCTCTCTGAGCTGACTTTGGGCCTTCTTGGAATGCTCCAGGGCCGTCTTGGAGGCCGTCTTGGGAGTCTTAAGAGCCCCTTGGGCCGTCTTGGGGCCCTCTTGGGGCCGTCTTGAGGGGCCTCTTGGGCCGTCAGGGGGCCATCTTGGAGGCCTCTTGGGCGATCTTTGGGCGATCTTTGGAGGCTCGTGGGCCGTATCGGGCCGTCGGACGGCCGAAAAGAAACAAATGTCAAAATCCTTCAAACACCTAGGGACAATCAGTATTTTTGGCGAGCCAACTTCGGCCATCTTGGCGGGCTCCTGGCCCGCCTGACGCAGTCGGAAGCCGTTTGGGGGGCCTGTCTGGGTCGACTTGGGGCCCTCTTGAGGTGCTCCAGAGCCGTCTTAGAGGCCGTCTTGGGCGTCTTGGAGGTCTGTCGTCTTTGTGCCCTCTTGGGGCCGTCTTGGGGCCCTCTTGGGCAGTCCTGAGGCCATCTTGGAGGCCTTTTGGGCGCTGTGGGGGCGATCTTTGGGGGCTCTGCGGACTTTCCTGGCGGCCCTCTTGGAGGCCTCTCGGGCCGTCTTGGAGGCCTCTGGGGGGCCTCTTGGGCAGTCTTGGGCTGTCTTCGACTCTTGGGCGGACTTGCAGGCCGTCTTGGACTATCTTGGGCGGACTTGGAGGCCATCGGAGGCCATCTTGGAGGCCATCATGTGCCAACGTGGCCATCATGGAGGCCATCTTGAGCCGTCTTGGGGGACACATTGTACAATTGGGCTCGTTTCCGGTTGGCCGGCGGGACGGGCCGAAGCCCCAGGGGGATTTTTTTTTGGAAAAGAACCACAGCCAAAACCGAGAGGGTTTCGCACGCCAGGCACCCCTGTGATGAATCGACAGGGTGCGGCGGATCGAAGACGCTTACGGCGAATCACCGCCGCCCCTTGCCTTTTTAGAAGCGCCTATGTTTCCGAACGTTGAGGCCAGACCTGCCAAGCTATCGGACCATGTGTTCCCCGAGTCGGTTTGGAAAGCCTTGGAGGAGCACGTGGGCATCTTGAAGGTCATCTTGGCCGTGTGGAGGCCATTTTGACCCTTTCGGGCCTTCTTGGACGACGTCTTGGAGGGCCCTTGGGCCGTCTTGGAGGCCTCTTGGGGCCGTCTTGGGCCTCTTGGGCGATTTTTTGGGGCACTTGGGCCGTCTCGGGCCGTCGGAAGGCCGAACAAAAAGCAAATGCACTAATGGGAAATTCATGATTTTTGCCTTTTCGACCCTTCCTGGAGGCCCTCTTGGGAGCCTCTTGGGCCGTCGTGGGCCATCGTAGGGTCATCTTCGGCTGTTTTGGTGAGCTCCTGGCCCGTCCGACGCCGTCGGAAGCCGTTTGGGAGGCCCTCCTGGGTTGACTTGGGGCCCTCTTGGAATGCTCCAGAGCCGTCTTGGAGGCCACCTTGGGCGTCTCTAAAGCCTCCTGGGCCGTCTTGGGGGCCTCTTGGGGCCGTCTTGGGGGCCTCTTGGGCCGTTCTGGGGCCATCTTGGAGGCCTCTTGGGCGATCTGTGGGCGATTTTTGGGAGCTCTTGGGCCGTCTCGGGCCGTCGGAAAGCCGAAAAGGCGCAAGTGCCAACATCCTTCAAAAACCTAAGGAAGATCAATGATTTTGGCCTTCCTGGTCTTCCTGGCGGCCCTCTTGGAGGCCTCTTGGGCCGTCTTGGGCCAGCTTCGAGCCAACTTCGGCCATCTTGGTGGGCTCCTGGCCCGTCTGACGCCGTCGGAAGCCGTTTTGGGGGCCTGTCTGGGCCGACTTCGGGCCCTCTCGGGGTGCCCAGTGCCGTCTTAGAGGCCATCTTGGGCGTCTTCGAGGCCTCTTGGGTCCTTTGTGATCCCTTGGGGCCGTCTTGTGGGCCTCTTGGGCAGTCCTGAGGCCATCTTGGAGGCCTCTTGGGCGCTGTGGGAGCGATCTTGGGGGCCTCTTGGGCCGTCTTGGGTCGTCGGAAAGCCGAAAAAGAGCAAATACGAAAGACATGTAAAAACCTGTGGAATTCATGATTTTGGCCTCTTCGGGCCCTCCTGGAGGCCCTCTTGGAGGCCTTTTGGACCGTCTTGGAGGCCTCTTGGGCCGTCTTGGGCCGTCTTGGAGGTTTCTTGGGCGGACTTGTAGGCATCTCCTCCTCTCTTGGGCGGACTTGGAGGCCATCTTGAACCATCTGAGAGGCCATCTTGGGCCAACGCGGCCATCATGGAGGCCATCTTGAGCCGTCATGGAGGATGTTTTTTCCGGCTTGAGGTCCTTCCCGGGACCCCGGCGGGACGCGCCTGAGCCCCAGGGGGAGTTCTTTTGGATAAGAACCACAACCCAAACCGAAATCGTCTAGCACGCCAGGCCCCCCTGCGATGAATCGACAGGGGGCGGCGGATCGAAGACGCCTGCGGCGAATCACCGCCGTCCCCTGCCTTGTTGGAAGCGCCTATGTGGCCGAACGTTGAGGCCAGACCTGCCAAGCTATCGGACCATGTGTTCCCCGAGTCGGTTTGGAAAGCCTTCGGGGAGCACGTGGGCATCTTGAAGGTCATCTTGGCCGTGTGGAGGCCATTTTGACCCTTTCGGGCCTTCGTGGACGACGTCTTGGAGGGCCCTTGGGCCGTCTTGGAGGCCGTCTTGAGCGTCTTGGAGGCCTCTTGGGCCGTCTTGGGGGCCTCTTGGGGCTGTCTTGGGCCTCTTGGGAGATCTTTGGGGGCACTTGGGCCGTCTCGGGCCGTCGGAAGGCCGACAAAAAAGCAAATGATTTTGGCCCTTTCGACCCTTCCTGGAGGCCCTCTTGGAGGCCTCTTGGGCCGTCTTGGGCCATAGGCCATCTTCGGCTGTTTTGGTGGGCTCCTGGCCTGTCCGACCCCGTCGGAAGCTGTTTGAGGGGCCTCTGGGCCGACTTGGGGCAGCCCTCTTGGAATGCTCCAGGGCCGTCTTGGAGGCCATCTTGGGCGTCTCAAAAGCCTCCTGGGCCGTCTTGGAGGCCTCTTGGGGCCGTTTTGGGGGTCTCTTGGGCCGTTCTGGGGCCATCTTGGAGGCCTCTTGGGCGATCTGTGGGTGATCTTTGGGAGCTCTTGGGCCGTCTCGGGCCGTCGGAAGGCCGAAAAGAGGCAAGTATCAAACTCTTTCAAACACATAAAGGAAAACTACTGTTTTGGCGCTTTTCTGGCCTTCCTGGAGGTCCTCTTGGAGGCCTCTTGGGCCCTCTTGGGCCAGCTTCGAGCCGACTTCGGCCATCTTGGTGGGCTCCTGGCCCGTCTGATGCCGTCGGAAGCTGTTTGGGGGGCCTCTCTGGGCCGACTTGGGGCCCTCTTAGGGTGCTCCAGGACTGTCTTGGAGGCCATCTTGGGCGTCTTCGAGGCGTCTTGGGCCGTCTTGGGGCCCTCTTGGGGCCGTCTTGAGGGGCCTCTTGGGCCGTCAGGGCGCCATCTTGGAAGCCTCTTTGGCGATCTTTGGGCGATCTTTGGGGGCCTCTTGGGCCGTATCGGGCCATCGGAAGGCCGAAAATAGTAGTGCACGGTATTGTTCATTACACACGTCCGCTTGATTTCGCTCTGTAGCCATCGCTTCTGCTCAAGCTGGCGCTGTGTTATGGCCCTCTTTGCCCCTGGTCTCTACCAAGTTCGAGACTGGGCTGCGACAGGTCTTTACGCGGCCAACCTCTGGAGTAACTGGCAGCGGGAGTACCACTGCACGTGCACCTTCACGGGAGAGCACGACAAGGGCTTGGTCCTGCTCCTCCAGAGGCAACTGGACAGGTGCGGGCCCGAACAACTTCGGAACGCCCCTCCACAGGGGTGCCCCTCGGTCTTCTGGGAGGTGACTGTGATCGGCTGCTCTCGCCGCCTTCGGCTGCGGGTACCTGGTGGGCAGGCTCCATGGACGTGGTGCCGCACGGGCTGGCGGACATGATGAAGATGGTGCGGCCGGGGGACCGGCTCTTCTGCCTCTGCAGCCTGGAGGAGAAGCTGTACCACGAGCGCCTGCTCTGCGGGCACGTGGCAGGCTCACTCTGGGCGGTAGCGACGCCTGATGGGGACGTCTTTGTCGAGGGCTTCGCCGACGCCGACCACGCGGAGGTGCACCCGGGCGGGCCGCGTGGCGGCCCACCACCGCAGCTGCGCAATAAGTTGCTCTACGGGTTCGACCTCGACAAGGACGCGCTCGCCGCCCTTGCGGCCGAGGGTGCTCAGCTGGGTGAGCGCGAGCGCGCCGCCCTGCCAGCGGGCCGCCGCCTCCGAGGGAAGCAGGCCGCCCCGGCCCGGCCGTCCGAGACGCAGCTCGCCCTCGACGGTGGCACGTCGACCCCGGTCGGCTCCGACGTCGAGCGGGGCGACCACCTGGCGGGCCCTCCGCTCCCGCCGCCGGCGCGTGCGCCCCCGCCGCGTGCGGGTTTCGGCGGGGCGCCTCTTCCGCCAGTGCGGCTGGGTCGCCCTGGAGACTCGGCTGGGCTTCAAGCGGGGCGGCCCGGTGGATGTGGCCTACGCCACCGTCCACGCCGACGGCGACCGCGCCCTGGCATCCTTCCCTGAGGGGGTCATCGCGCTCGCGCGCGTGGGGACCCTCGACGAGGTGCCGGCCTCACCGAAAGCAGTGCCGGATGCAGTGCTGGACGAGCGCATCTTGCGGCACCGGCGGAGCAGCACCGGGCAGCGGCGCCGGGCCTTCGCGGAGGTGGTCGCCGAGCAGCAGGAGGCGCTGGACACCAAGGACTGGCGCATCGAGGGGCCCGCCACCGTCGGCTGGCTGCTTCAGGCACACCTGGAGCAGGGTGGCGACCCTGTCCAGCGCCACTACTGGTGGAGACAGATCCTGGGGTTGGCAGCAGCCGACCCTGGGGTCGATGAACATCTGTTCCTGTGCCAGCTCCTGGAGACCGCAGCCACGGCCGATCAGCTCAACCTGCCGGGGTGCGAGACGTTCGAGCTGGCGGCCAGGCGCTTCCAGCTCTGGGAGGAGGTGTACTCAGAGGCCTTGCGGCAGGCCGAGGTCTCGGGCACCGCCGGGGCCGCAGCCGACTCCGAGGGCTGGTTGGGCGAGCGCCGCATCTTCTTGGGGGGCGCGCTCTCGAAGGGGCACGCCCTCGTGGCTCCTACTTTGGAGAAACACGTGGCGACGAAGATGCAAGAGGAGAGCGCAATCCTCAAGGAGAGGCGCGAGGACAGGGAGGAGCGCCGCATGGCGCGTGGCGAGAGCAGTAGCGAAGCCGACGCTGGTCTCGGCGACCCGGGCGGGGGCGGCGGCGGCCCTGGCGGCGGCGCTGGCCCCGCAGGCCGCGGGCGCGATCGCGGCGCCCGCGCGGGGCTAGCCCGCCACCACTCATCCGGCTTGCGCGCGGCCGCTGCAGCCCCCGGGCAGCGGGCGCTATTTCAGGGGAGGGCCGCCACTGCGGTGGTGATGGCGGCCTCGGCGCAAGGGGTCGCGGACTCGGCCCTGGCGCGCGACGTTCTGCCCCTGCCGGCTGGCGAGTCGCTCGACGAGCTGACGGCGTGGACGGCTTCGTCGACAACAGGAGGCTTGGCTGCGCGAGGGCATTGCCGCCCTCAACGACCTGGGCGGTCGCGGCGCTTGCGCGCCGGCTGGGCCCCCAGCCGCCTGTCAGGCCGCGGCGGTGCGGCGTCTCGCGCGGCTGTGTGGCAGATTGGAGCAGCCGCCATCCGACCTGACCCCTCTGGGGGCGTGGCAGACGCTCCAGGCTTCGCGGAACGGTTATGCAGATGTCATGGCCGACGGCGCAACGACGACCTACAGGAAGAGGGCCATGGCGCTCCCGCGGGCTGCGGCCGGGCGCGTGCGGCTCAGTGATGTGCTTCCCCCGTACCTGCAGACTGTCCTGTCAGATTCTTCGCGTATGTTACGAGAGCCGGAGGCTCGCAATTTTGCTTTGGGCGCGGCCCTCCGGGTCTGTGCTATGGGCCCTGTGCTGCAGAGGCACGGCTACCACTACGGCGAGTGCCTCTCTGAGCTGCTCTCCGCGGGCATCCTCGAGCGCGTGGGCGAGGGCAGCGTCGTCGAGCGCGCTGGCATCTTCTTCGTGCCGAAGAAGGACTCCTCCTTGCGGCTGATCTTCGACGCCAGGAGGTCGAACGCGCACTTCCAGGAGCCGCCGCGCGGGCTCCTGTCGAGCGGGGGGGCGCTGGCGAACCTGGAGGTGGACGCCTCCAAGGGGGTCGCGGTGGCCTCCGCTGACGTTGACTGCTGCTTCTACCAGTACGAGCTGCCACCTTGGTCTCGTTTCTTTTTTGGGCTACCTGCTGTTCAAGCGCGTTTTCTCCAGCCGCAGGTTCGCCGGCTGCTGGGCATCGCGGACCTGTCCGAGATGGTCCACTTCGTTGCCAGGGTGGCCCCCGTGGGCTGGTCGTGGGCGGTGCACCTCATCCAGGAGGCCCACGCCCACATCCTGGGCGGCGTCAGCCCGGAGTCGCCGTGGATCGCCGACAAGGTGCCCACCCCGGCACTCGGCGCGCAGTGCTCCGCGGCCAAGATGCTGTACATCGACAGCGTTGCCGTTTTTTACGTCTGGCAGTGGCGACCCTGCCCTGGAGGTGGAGCACATGCTGGCCGCCGTGGGCGAGCGGGGGATCCAGGCCTCCTTCGACAGCGACGACGGGGACCTTCGCACCCTGCCCGGGTGCGCGCTGCACAAGCCCTCCGCCACCTGGCGGCTGTCGCGGAGCAAGTTCTGGCGACTGAAGTCCAGCTTCGATTTTGCACTCGCGCCCGGGCGCCTCGTCACGGGGCGCGAGCTCGAGGGGCTCATGGGGCACGTCACATCCGCCGTGATGCTGCAGCGGCCGATGCTCTCCTTGTTCCACGCCATCTACGAGTTCTGCAAGCGCTCGCGTGACAGGCGGCAGCCTCTGTGGACCTCGGTGAAGCGGGAGCTCGCTTGGTTCAGGGCGCTTCTTCCATGCGTGACCGCCCTGCTGAGTCGCTCCGGGTGCGACTGGGTCACGGCCGCCGACGCCTCGCCGTTGGGGTTCGGCGTCGTGGAGCAAGCGTGGCCCGTCGGTGGCGTGTGACGAGTTGGCGGCCTCTCGGAACGCAGCCGCTTCCGGGGGGTCCTGGCGGCGGACTGCGCCCCCCGGGACACGCTGGGCGAGCAGCAGCTCCTGCGCGCCTCCTCGGCGGACGTGGTGGCGGAGGGCGCCCTCGCGCACTTCGAGGAGGTCCCGGCGGGGCGGCTCCTGGCTGACCCTTGGGCGGTAGTGGCTGCGCGGCGCTGGCGCCGCGCCGCGGCCATCCACGTCCTCGAGGCTGAGGGCGTGCGCTGGGCCGTGCGCCGCTTAGTTCGGAATGCTCAGCTGCATGGACTCCGGCATCTCGTCCTGGGGGACAACCTCGGGGTGGTATGTGCGCGCGAAAAAGGGAGAGCCGCTCTCCTTGCCCACGGCGGGGTCTGTCGAGAGGTGCGTGCGATCTCGATTGCGACGGGGGTTCAGTTCAGGTTTCGGTGAGCCCCCTCTGGGCTCAATCCGGGGGGCTCTCCCTCGCGGAGATTCATGCCGGTGTATTGGGTGCAGCAGAACATGGGCGCGCAGCACGACAACCACAGAAGATGCGCACCATCCGTGGACATCGGCTCGAACGACGACGTCAATGCCGGCTCGGGCCTTCTGGGTCAACCCCTCTTTCGACAAGCGCGCCCGCGATGCCGCGCAGCCCCGGCCGGGGCGGATCACCCGGCGCGCCTCAGGATCGGGAGGCGGGCGCTGGCCGCCCGGCCCTTCGGGCCCCCGCCAGGGTTGGACATCCCGGGCGCCGGTGAGCGCTGGGCCCGTCGGGCACAGCGCGCGGCGGGCGCGGCTGTGTCCGCGGCTCTCGCGGCTGGCCGCCAGCCGGGTGTGCCCCGCCACGGGGCGCACCGACCTGCGGGCGCTGACCATGCTCTTGGGCTGGCTCAGGCTGAAGGCGCTTCCGGAGTGGACGCTCCTGCAGTGGGACGGCGCCCTGGTCGATTACGCCGATCTCGAGTGGACCTTCGACCGCGGCATGGGCAGGGGGGCGTTCTCGCGCACCCTCTGTGCTGTGGCGTGGGGGGGGCCCGCGCTGGGGGGCCCCGCGCGGCGACTCTTCCCCTCGGCCCATTCGTCGCTAGCCGGCTGGACCCGGCTACAACCAGGGCGTTCGCGACCGCCGCTTCCTCGAGTGCTGGCGCTGGCGTTCGCGGCCGTGCTGGCCTCGCTGGGGAAGCCAGACTCCGGGCTGTGCATCCTGGTGATGTTCGAGTGCTACCTGCGCCCGTCGGAGGCCACGACCTTGCTTGCCAAACAGCTGGTGGCGGGGTCCGGCAGAGGTGCGGGTGTCCTGCGATGCCCGCTACTGATCCTTCATCCAGAAGAGCTGGCAATCAGCTCCAAGACGGGCGAGTTCGATTCCACAGTGGCTTTCAATCTACCCCGACATCACTGGATTGGACGTGCCGCTCTACGCCTTCAGTCCCTCCTGCGCGAGGACGAACCATTTTTTCGCCTTTCCTACTCGCAGCTCCTGGCCGACTTCCACGTTGCCTCTCAGCACCTCAAGCACGACGATTTGGGCTTGGCGCCTCGCTGTCTGAGGCGCGGGGGCGCGACGCACGATCGCGCAGAAGGCTGCCGAGCTCTACTCGAGGTCCAGAGGCGCGGGATGTGGCGAGCCGCCTCGTCGGTCCAGAGATGCGACAAGGCCGGGCGGCTGGCGCTGGTGCTGCGGGGCCTCAGCAACGCCCAGAAGGGCGACTGCGAGCGGTGGGCGGCGGCCGCCCCGCGGCTCTTCGGCAGCGCCTTCGCGCAGCCCTCCGTGCAGGTAGGCTTGGAGAGCGACGAGCATTTCTCGATTTTTTTCCGGGGCCGGCGGGCTCGCCGCGGAGCTGAAGAAGAGGGGGCATGCTGTAGTATCAATCGATCTGCTGCTTGGCCCTGGCCCGGATGATGTTTTCCGCACCTTGCGTGGCTGGCTGGGGTCCGGCGTAATTTGGGTCGTTTTTTTGGGGGGCAACCCATGCGAGAAGCGGTCGCAGGCCCGCCGTGCGCCCCCTCATAGTGCCATGCCTCGCCGTCTTCGAACCAAGAACCACCCGAGGGGCCTCCCTGGCCTGGAGGGCGCCGATTATCAGGCGGTCCTGGGCTCCAACAAGCTTGCAGACATAATCACGATCTTGTTGCGGATCGCCCTCTCGCGGCAGCTGCCGGCGGGGGAAGAAAATCCTGCTTCTGGCATCCTCTGGCTCTTGCCCAGCCGTAGGCGCTCCTGTGCTCACGCGAGTGTCAATGAAATCGTCTTTGACGATTGCGGCGCGGGCCGCCCCTTTCGGGCCCGCACCCGCATGGCGCTCGCCACCATCTCGGTGCCTCCCGATTTGTATTCCTGGCAGTGCAAGGGTAGGAAGGGCTTGCACGTTTTCTGGAAAACCTCACGTCGTCTTTACAGGTACTTCCCAGGCTGGTTTCCTGACCCGATTGAAAGCGGCCTACCCGCCACGCCTGTGTTCTGCGCTCGCTTGTGAGTTCTCGCGCAGTTACCTTTCTCTTCGGGCCGAGCGACTTTGGAATTTGATGCGGTAGACCAGTGCATTGCATGGAGGCGGGGTTATCTCATGAATGTGGGTTGTGTGGGGCAATGCCCACTCGACGCGTCGCCTTCGCCTCAGCACTCTTCTGGAAAAAGAATGAACATAGTAGTGCACGGTATTGTTCATTACACGCGTCCGCTTGATTTTGCTCTGTAGCCATCGCTTCTGCCCTCGCCAGCCCAAAGCCTTTGCAATTGCCACGTTTCTCTGCGTGGTCGTGTGGGACAAGGCCCGCTCGACGCGTCGCTTTCGCCTCGGCGCTCTTTTGGAAATTATCCCAGTGCGACCCTACCTAGGAGTTGGAGCCCCTAGGAAAGCAGCGTTAGTAGTAACAGTAAAGCTAAACTAGCTAAGCTAAAGCTAAGCTAAAGCTAAGCTCAAGCTAAGCTAAAGCTAAGCTAAAGCTAAGCTGAAGCTAAGCTAAAGCTAAGCTAAAGCTAAGCTAAAGCTAAGCTAGGGCTAAGCTAAAGCTAAAGGTAAGCTAAAGCTAAGCTAAAGCTAAGCTGAAGCTAAGCTAAAGCTAAACTAAAGCTAAAGCTAAGCTAAAGCTAAAGCTAAAGCTAAAGCTAAAGCTAAAGCTAAAGCTAAAGCTAAAGCTAATGCTAAAGCTAAAGCTAAAGCTACAGCTAAAGCTAAAGCTAAGCTAAAGCTAAAGCTAAAGCTAAAGCTAAAGCTAAAACTAAATATATAGCTAAGCTAAAGCTAAGCTAAAGCTAAGCTAAAGCTAAGCTGAAGCTAAGCGAAAGCTAAGCGAAAGCTAAGCTAAATCGAAGCTAAGGCTAAGCTAAAGCTAAGCTAAAGGTAAGCTAAAGCTAAGCTAAAGCTAAGCTGAAGCTAAGCTAAAGCTAAGCTAAAGCTGAGCTAAAGCTAAGCTAAAGCTAAGCTAACACTAAGCTAAATCTAAGCTAGCACTAGGCTGAAGCTAAGCTAAAGCTAAGCTGAAGCTAAGCTAAAGCTAAGCTAAAGCTAAGTTGAAGCTAAGCTAAAGCTAAGCTAAAGCTAAGCTAAAGCTAAGCTAAAGCTAAGCTAAAGCTCAGCTAAAGCTCAGCAAAGGCTACGCTAACACTAAGCTAAAGCTAAGCTAAAGCTAAGCTGAAGCTAAGCTAAAGCTAAGCTAAAGCTAAGCTAACACGAAGTTGCAGCTAAGCTAAAGCTAAGCTAAAGCTAAATTAAATCTACGCCCACACTAAGCTAATACTAAGCTAAAGCTAAGCTAAAGCTAAAGCTAAGGCTAAAGCTCCCAGGGGACTGGGGGAACCGCGGGGCGGGGACTGGGGGAACCGCCCGGGGCGGTTTCCATTGCCCGGCCCCTTTAGCTAAGAGAGTACGAACCCTTCTAGGCAGAGCCTAGGTAGGGAAAAAGAATGAACATAGTAGTGCACGGTATTGTTCATTACACACGTCCGCTTGATTTCGCTCTGTAGCCATCGCTTCTGCACTCGCCAGCCCAAAGCCTTTGCTATTGCTACGTTTCTCTGCGTGGTTGTGTGGGGCAATGCCCACTCGACGCGTCGCCTTCGCTTCAGCGCTCTTCTGGAAAAAAGAATGAGCAGAAACATATGTCAAAATCCTTCAACGCACTTAAGGACAATTAATGATTTTTGCCTCTTCGGGCCTTCCTGGAGGACCTCTTGGAGGCCTCTTGGGCCGTGTTGGAGGCTTCGTGGGGGCCTCTTGGGTCGTTTTGGGCCATCGTCAGGCCATCTTAAGCCGTCTTGGGTGCATCTTGGGCCGTCTTGGAGGCATCTTGAGGCCATCTTAGCCGTCTAGGAGGCCATCTTGGCCGTCTTGGAGGCCATCTTGGACCATATTGGAACCGTCTGTTGGGAAAAAACCAAAACCAAAACCGAAAGGATCCAGCGCGCCAGACACCCCTGCGATGAATCGACAGGGGGCGGCGGATCGAAGACGCCGACGGCGAATCACCGCTGCCCCCTGCCTTTTTGGAAGCGCCTATGTGGCCGAACTATGAGGCCAGACGCTGGGGCGGGGGGTCGTGGGGCCAGGGCGGGGGGTCGTCGGGGGCAGGGGCGGAGGGCCGTCGCGGGGCTGGGGCGGAGGGTCGCCCGGGGGTGGGCAGAGGGTCGTCAGGGGGCGGGAGGGGCGGAGGGCCAGCCGGCGCCGACGGCGACTCATGCGGCGTCGGCTGCGGCCGCCGCCGTGGCCGCTGCTAGGCGCGCCGCCGCCGCGCCCGTCGATGGCTGCAGCCGCCGCAGCACCGCCCGCGCGTTCTCCCGATGATGAGAGATTGAGAGTCGCTGGTCGTGCCGGTCCGCCACTGCGGCGGCGTCCTCCCCGGTGGCGTCAGCCACCCGCTTGGCCAGGATCGCGAAAGCTCTCCTGGCCTCGCGCCCCCGCCCGCCACCGTGGGCCTCCACCAGGCGAAACAAATGGCAGACGAAGGCAGGGGGGGGGAGCAGCAGGGAGGAATATGACGGTTGTTCAGGAAGCAGGATCGTCCTTGGAGGAGAGGGAGGGGCACGGAAAGTATGACATAACATTGTTTTCGAATACCACTCTCGCTCAGGCGGGTCCTCCTTGGAGGAGTGGGGGGGGGGCAATGTACCTACCAAATAACATGGCGTTCGAATGCCCTTCTCGCTCAGGCGGGGCCTCCCTGGAGGAGTGGGGGGGGCGCGAATCTTGATGCGTGATATTTGTTTCCGAATGCCCTCCTCGCTCAGGCGGGCCTCCCTGGAGGAGTGGGAGGGGTGCTAAAACTGA